TCAGGCACAGATGAGTAGACACTGGAGCGCGCTAGAGATTTGGAGCGTAGAGTAGATAGTTTTCCCTTTCGGCCTGCGTGCCATGCTTTCGTATTGGCATTATCGAGGATATTAGTTAGTTAGCCTGTGCACCTGAGTTCTCTAGCTCAGGTGTGGCATAGCACCCCGTACTCTGATGTTATGTTTTGGGATTTACTGAGAATTTTACGTTTAATATATAAGTCTCAAAAGTTTTAAAATTCCGGGGTGTTACAAAGTCCCTCAGTGGGCGAGGCTGACTACCTACAAACCCCTGACGAACATCAAAAAACGAGCAAGTCCCTCAGTGGCCAAGGCTAACTGCCTACGAGCCCTTGAGGAATATCAAAAAATGGCCAAGTCCCTCAGTGGGCGAGGCCGACTGCCTACGAGCCCCTGAGGAACATCGAAAATGGCCAAGTCCCTCAGTGGGCGAGGCCAACTGCCTACGAGCCCCTGGGATCATAAAAAACGGCCAAGTCCCTCAGTGGGCGAGGCTGACTACTTACGAGCTCCTGAGAAACATCGAAGATGGCCAAGTCCCTCAGTGGGCGAGGCTGACTGCCTACGAGCCCCATAGGAACACAAAAATTGGCCAAGTCCCTCAGCTGGCGAGGCTAACTACCTACGAGCCGCTGAGGAACATCAAAAAACAGCCAAGTCCCTCTGTGGGCAAGGCTGGCTGCCTACGAGCCCCTGAAGAATATCAAAAAACGGCCAAGTCCCTCAGTGGGTGAGGCCGACTGCCTACGAGCCCCTGAGGAATATCGAAAACTTCCAAGTCCCTCAGTGAGCGAGGCCGACTGCCTACGAGCACCTGAGGAACATCGAAAACGGCCAAGTCCCTCAGTGGGTGAGGTTGACTGCCTACGAGCACTTAAGAAACATCGAAGACGGCCAAATCCCTCAGTGGGCGAGGCTGACTGCCTACGAGCCCCTAGGGAACATCCAAAACCTGCTTACGACATAGCCGTCATCGCCTGATTAGGCTGTAGCAGCCGTCCTCGTAGAGATGAGGTGATCATCCTCGCGGCGTGGCCGCCTTCACCTGAGCAGGTGGTATCAGCCGTCCTCGTAGAGAGGAGGTGATCATCCTCGCGGCGTAGCCGTCCTCGCCTAATCAGGCGGTAGCAGCCCTCCTCGTAGAGAGGAGCTGATCATTCTCGCAGAGTGGCCGCCTTCGCCTGAGCAGGCGGTATCAGCCGTCCTCGTAGAGAGGAGGTGATCATCCTCGCGACGTGGCCGCCTTCCCCTGGGCAGGCGGTTTCATCCGTCCTCGTAGAGAGGAGGTGATCATCCTCGCGGCGTGGCCGCCTTCGCCTGAGCAGGTGGTATCAGCCGTCCTCGTAGAGAGGAGGTGATCATCCTCGCGGCATGGCCGCCTTCGCCTAAGCAGGCGGTATCAGCCGTCCTTGTAGAGGTGTCTCACCGCCACAATTTCCCCTCAAGGTAACTGCACAGGCAAAGGTTAAACAAACTAAACCATTCAAGTTTTACCAACATCACTCAAACTAGGCGTTAAGACCCCGGTGTCCAGCACCATCAAAAACTCAAGGGAAAGTTAACTACAAGTCTCAAAAACAAACAACATCAAGAGTTTAGACTACTACTAGCTATCAATGCTAATTTAGTCTAACTCGTACTCTCTAACGAATTGGGTCCTCCTGAAAGGGGTTAACAAACAACAAGTAGAAAACAAACCCGTTAACACGAAGCTAAGTATAACGCCACTCAACCCTGTAAAGTACTACAGTATATACTTTTGGAAAACATTTGTTTAACCTACTTAGATCAACTCAATCACTTAAGCAACAATTAAACATGCTCATCAGGGTTTCTATATGCTTGCAACCTACTTATCAAACAAGCATTCTTTTTCGATTATTCAACTTATCACCAGTCTCATGCTTGACTTATCAATAATCTCATATCCTCATATATCTTAGTAAGCAAGCTCATGCTGCACGCCTACACATAATTCAATAAGCAATCTCATATTATCATATAATCTCTAAGCAATCTCATGCTATCATATACTCAATATGCAATCTCGTGCAATCATGTAATCTCTAAGCAAAATCATGTTATCATATACTCAATATGCAATCTCGTGCAATCATGTAATCTCTAAGCAAACTCATGCTATCATATACTCAATATGAAATCTAGTGCAATCATGTAATCTCTAAGCAAACTCATGCTATCATATACTCAATATGCAATCTCGTGCAATCGTATACTCAATATGCAATCTCGTGCAGTCATATACTCAATATGCAATCTCGTGTAGTCATGTACTCAATATGCAATCTCATGCAGTCATATACTCAATATGCAATCTCATGCACCTAACTTGATCATGCAGTAGAATGAACATGATGCTTTAGTATAAGTATAGATAGATATACATATACACTCTTTTGTAAAAAGAATACATTTCTATGGAGGTTTCTTAGAGTCACAATGACTCGCTTTGCTCTTCTTTTCTAGAGTATCAATGACCAGCTTCCTTTAGAGTCGCAATGACTCGATTTCTTTAGAGTCGCAATGACTCACTTTCTTATACTCGTGGGCGAGGTAGGAACTTCACCGTAACGTGAATAGACCTATCCGGGTTCAGCATCTAGCCGGGCTAATACTATCTCGCCCACAGAATCACACTCTTGGTTCTTTTTCTCAAACTCTGTGGAATCAGGTATCGAACTATCAGTGTGCACACCCCCTGACCAGGATTCCAAGCCTGGACGGGCAGTTTCCAACCTAGTAACACGGGAATATCGACCTCATTACTTCATATCGGATCGCAATTTCCGTTTCTTTCTTTACTTTCTCTTTTCACTATTTTGTCGGTTCTATCCGATCTTATCTCTTTCCTTCCGAAAGGACATAGTCCTAACGGGCCTCCAAAACTTCGGATTACTCACACTAAATACATATAGATATAATTCATGCATTTCAACTCATGCAAAACTTTACTCAAGCAAACCTATGCACATAACTTCTCAACAACTTCTCTTTCCTCACAAATTGGAATTCATTTATCCTGCAACTTCTCAATGCAACTATATAATGATTTTCCAAAATTGATATAAGTTTTTGAAAATAGTACTTAGGCTCACATTGGCCACTTATGCAATTTAAAACATGGTAAGCTCAAATATGCACTTTACTGTAAAATATGCTTCAAAACTTCTTTCACCGTGAACTCTCAACAAATTGCATAAACATGCTTATAAATCATAACTTAGCAAATCTTCTTTGGCAAACACTTAACAAGTATTCAACATGCACTTGAACTCAAAATACTCAACATAATCTCATTTACTGTAATCTAGCATTCAAGAAGAACATGCTCTGAACACTTCAACATTTAATATTCTTGGCAAAAATCTCAACAAGTCATAATAGACATCTAGGCATTTTTTTCTAACATAACTCATCAAATATTGATCATCTTTCTTAATCTAACAATCATATAATTATCATGCTTTTCAAACAATTAGCCAAGACCAAACACTTAACATTTCCATTCACTGTAAATACCCCCAGGCTACTTCTGTAGCATTTTTCTTCACAAATTCTATCACAAATTACTCAATTCTACTCAGAATTCAATGAAATCAAATTCTACTAGTGCGTCGTGACGATCCCGAGTGTCCGAGCCTCAAGGGCCCACGAGTCCCGATCTGAAACGACATGTAGCTGAGCCACAAGGGCCCGGCCACTGCACAACTTTTGCCCAACGAGGCTTGTGGCGGGGCTTGAGGAACCCCGCCGCCTGGAACTGCCAAGCGCCGGCCTAGGGCCACAGCTCTAGCCTGGAGCCATTTCCGTAGGGCCGCTCCTACACGGGGCTTGCAAACGGCTCTTTCCTAGGGCCGTTGGTTAGTCCCGTGTCTCATCTTGTGCACACTGTTTTGTGCACTAGTGAGAATCTTCTTCACCTGTAACTCAAAAACAGGCAACCAAACACTCCCAAATCATCAACAACACATCATATATCAATAATAGATCACTTAATAGCTCAAACACAACAACATTCTAGCATTTTACTCATTTCAAAACAAAAAATAGACTACACTGAGTCTAAAAAGCTTTTGGGAGTCCATTGGGTTATACCTTTGTAGATTCCTCCTTTGAGCTGGGATTCCACCTTCTTCCCAAGCAAGCTACACCCTCCTTCTCCTCCTAAAAATCTCAAACAAACCACACAACCATCTTAATACTAAGCTCTCAGAGAGATAAGATAGAAGGAAATGCAGAAAAGGAATGGAAGGCTAGGCTTAGATGAAAACTTACTATGATTTTTCTTGGATGTCTTATAGAGCCTTTGGGGAGGAAGACAAGGTAGGGAATCAAGAGACAAAGTCTGATAGTGTTCTTATTTATAGAGGCACAAAACCCTAGGAGAATCCACAATGATTGGTGGAGGGTAAAATGGTAAAAACTTTGGCTAAAAGATGTATCAGGCAAAGTTTTGGAGTAGTGTGGTTCACCATGCTTCATGAAACATGGTCTAAAATCAAGATTTAAAATAGTTTTGGGGTTAAAAGTGAATTTCCCAAAAATGACTTCTAGATAAACACTTGATTTAGGCTTCTCAGATTTCTCCCGGTTTCACACAGAATGATTTTTCAGTTCAAAACTTGTACGCAATGTACCCATAATTTAGGATTTTTGATTCAAATCATGTTTCGGTGTTGAATTTATTTAAAAGTGGCTCAAAATAATTTATTCAAACACCGATTTCATCGCCAAAAATTTTTACAGAGTGAAAAATGGCTATTTTGGAATTCCTTAAAACCGAATTTATAAAATTAAATTTTGGGTTGTCACAAGCGCCTCGTGTCTGGTTTACACGGTTGCATGATTTTCTTGTTTCTGTAGGCTTCTCTCCTTCTAAGACTGATGTCTCTCTATTTATTTATTCGCATGGCAATATTCGACTATATTTTTGGGTTTATGTGGATGACGTTTTGGTCATGGGTTCCGATTTGGATCATGTAACTGCTCTTATTAATAAGTTAGCTCTTGAGTTTAAAGTTCGTGATATGGGGCTGCCTTCCTTTTTTATGGGTATTCCGTTGTCTGGAGGCATGCTTTTGTCTCAACAACGGTACATGAAGGATATTCTCAAACGACCAGGTATGGTGGATTGCAAACCCGTGGCCACACCGGTTTCGAATGCCAAAGCCGTGGATGACGCCGCAGTTCCATATGCTGATCCCACTCAGTATCGCAGTCTTGCTAGTGCTCTACAGTATCTTACGGTAACCCGTCCTAATCTCTCTTACGCGGTTAATCGTTTGTGTCAGCACATGCATTCTCCCACTACTGTGGACTGGGCGGCACTGAAGAGGGTGTTGCGGTATGTTAATGGGACACTTAATCTTGGTCTTCATATATCCTCTTCTGCCTGTCTTGACATTCATGCGTATTCTGACTCGAATTGGGCTGGCAATCCTGATGACCAGAAGTCGACTAGTGGTTTTGCTGTGTTTTTGGGAAGCAATCTTATATCTTGGGTGTGTCTGAAACAGCATACCGTGGCTCGTTCCTCGATTGAAGCTGAGTACAAGGGGCTAGCTGATGTCTCTGCTAAGGTCACTTGGCTTGTTTCTCTGATGAAGGAAATTGATTTTCCACCAACTTCTGCGCCTAAGCTCTGGTGTGACAACCAGGGATCCACTTACTTATGTGCTAATCCGATATTTCATGCCCGCACGAAGCACATTGAGACCGACTATCACTTTGTTCGCGATAAAGTGGTTAAGAAGAAATTACAGGCTCACTTTATTTCAACTAAAGATCATATCGTGGATTACTAAATCTCTTTCGCCTTTACGTTTTAATTTACTCCGTCGCAAGCTCAATGTTTTGCCTACACAACCTTGTGCTTAAGGGGTAGTATTAGGAATATATTATTAGTATTAGACTATAACACTATTTCGTGCCTATATATTGTATTCTCAGACTTTGGTATTCAATACAATACAATCTATATTCTCTTCATATTACTCTAAATTGGTTCATCCTATTATATATTTTTAAAAATTATGAAATAATTAAATATAAAAAAGTTATAGTTTCATATATAATAATAACAACACGTTTGTGAGTGAATATTTAATAAGAAAATTAATTAAGCATGATTAATGTTTTTGGTTGATTAAGTTATAAGTGGACAAGAAAGACTTTGTAACTCATATCCGTTCTCCCACATTAGCTAGTAAATATCGACCAATATATTTAAGATGCATTTAAACTTTATTAACTATTAATAACCTTTCTCATCAATAATTTTATTAAATTCTGTTGGCTGGCGGCTTGAATAACCGTATCCAATATCCTTTCATTGAAAGGTGGTCATTAACCAGTACATAAGTATATAAAAAAAATTATGCATTTCTTAGTAATTATAGTTTTTGCGTAATAAGGACCGACCCTTGACATGAGCCACCAGAACGACAACATAGGGCCTCGTACTTTTGGGGGTGCAATTTTTTTTAATTTTTAATTTTTAGTTTTTTATGTGTGTGTATGTATATGTATAATATCTATTGATTTTTATACTTGGTAATTATATTTCAAGAGTTTATGCATGTGTAATCGAAAATGAAATTTTGGAAGAAATTGATATCTTTAAATTTTAATTTCTGAATGAATTTATAGATATCTAAATATGCATGAAGAATGTCTATTTTATGTTAAATTTTCACTTGTACTTTTCTTGTAGAATATTTTATGCTTTACAAGTTTTGTAAATAAATATTACAATTTTTATTTATATTTACACATATAATAGAAATAAGAAAAATGGGATCCAAATTCAACTAATTTACCAATCTCTTTTTAATTTTAACCTAAAATTGATATTTGACCTCTCTGTTTCCATTATGGCATGTTTGATTCATGGAATAGGTCAGGAATGGAATAACATTCCTTAGAATAGACATATTCCATTGTTTGGTTGGATCGTTTTGTCATGAGAATAACATCCCTAGGAATGAGCTATTACCTTTGCAAGGGGAATAGCCATTCCTAGGGGGCCTTGGTATTAGCTATTCTCATGCCCTTGGGAATAACTTTTATATCACAAATACCAAAAATACCATTTGCACATTATTTAATATTTATATTTATTTAATAAATATAATATTATATATATATATATATATATATATATATATATATATATATATATATAATTAACTGTATAAGACTCCTTAATTATGGAGGCTTGGCTCCTAAATTAAGTAGCCTGCCCTTTCGCATGCCTAGCGGATGGGCATTGCAAGCTTGCCTAGCAGATGAGCATTACAATTGAAATATGGAGCCTTGAGCTCCATTTATAAGAGCCCCAAGGCTCCATTCCTCACTTCTCCAACCGACGTGGGATAAGTGGAGAAATAAATATAAATATAAATATAAATATAAATATGTATTTTTATTATTATAATAATAATAATAATAATAATAATAATAATAATAATAATAATAATAATAATAATAATTATTATTATTATTATTATTATTATTATTATTATTATTATTGTTATTCTCTCTCTCATACACATGCATATACATGTATATAAATATAAATATAAATAAATAAATAAATATATATATATATATATATATATATATATATATATATATATATATATATATATATAAACATTCAGTATATCATAATCATATTATTATTATTATTTTGTATAAGGGTATTTATGTCTTTAAAACCTATTTTATTTTTATTTCTTTAACCGACCAAACACTATAATACAATGACTAAAATATATTTCTTCAGCGAACCAAACAATAGAATACAATTCATGTTCTATTCCTTGCCTATTCCATTCCCTGACCCCTATGGAATAGTATTCCTATTCCCTCCAAATTCATTCCCTAAACCAAACGTTTTGTTAGTGTGTCTTCTTTTTCTATTCTCAACACAAAATGTCAATTAGTAGTCCAACCTCAATCAAATATGTATTCTCAAAAATCTTTTATCTATTTTATTGCTATTGTTATGCAATTCTAGAGTTGATTTACATTGTGTTACATAAAATTTCAAAAGCAAGATTTGAATTTGGTTATTTAGAATTTATAATAATAATAATAATAATAACAATAATAATAATAATAATAATAATAATAATAATATTATTATTATTATTATTATTATTGTTGTTGTTGTTGTTGTTATTATTAAGTATAGACATTTTGGATTTTATACTACTTATTCCCTTTCAATTCTCATGTATACCAAACATTGGAAATGAAATTCTCAGTAATTCTATTCCTGCAAACTAAACACTGAAATTTAAATTACCACTTTAATCCCATATTATTCATCTTCTATAGAATTACAATTCTTTTCCTACATAATTCTCTCTCTCTCCATGCCGTGTAAGAGTTTGATCATGACCTGTAAAGATCAAACTAGTTTTTTTTGTATGATCTTCGCGTTTAGCATCCCCTCGATTTATTCATCGTGACATCGTCAATAAAAATGACATTGCTTAACAAAAAAAAAAAAAAAAAAAAAAAAAAAAAGTTTCTTTCTCTGCACATTCAATTCTCATTCCTAGCTAGGAAAGAAAAACTACCGGGCTAGTTACTTAGAGTACAGTTCAACTTTTTTGCTATTGGTTTGTGTACTTATTTTTTCTCCAGTCTAATATTGTCATGAGTTTATAATAATTTTAGGAAAAGTACAGTATTTCTGAAGATGTTAATTATAATAAATTTAAAATACAACGTAAGCATGACATGAATGCCCAGGCTATTTTTAATTTTTTATCCGAACAATTCTTTCTCAAAAATTAGTTCTATGTCAAGGACCTTGTGGTCTAGTGACACCATGTTGCTCTCTCATATAGGAGGTTGTGGGTTTAAGTCTCTTTGTGTTTCAGTGGTTTGAGATACTAGTTATGAACAGATATCGCATTGTAATAGAGTCAGTAGTACTAAAAAAAAATGGACACTATTGTCATATTAATATATTTGCAATTTATTACTATTTTTCTAATTTTTACAATTTCAACTTCATCTCTATAAAAATATAATATAACAATGATAATAGCATGACCGGATTTTAGGCTGTGCAAGCTGGGCTACTGCACAGGGCCCCTAATTTTAGAGGGGCCCCAAATTTTAGAGGCCCAATATTTAATATTTACCTAGTTAGTTTAGAAATAAAAATTAAAAGTTTACAATCAATCTTAAAAGGTTGTATGAAGTAACGGTAGAAATGTGTATTTATTGTCTTTTAACTTGGAGGTCAAAGGTTTGAAACTCGCATATGTTAGTTTAAAAATTAAGATTTTGGAGGGCCTCAGTTATTTACCATAACAGGGCCACAAAAACTTTAAATCCGGCCCTAGGTAATAGTATTTAAATTTATTATTAAAAAGTACAATATAGTTGAGAAAGTCGTCTATAAATGAATAATGTTTGAAAGCTTTCTAATACTATTTGCATTAAAAGAAAAAAAAAAAAAAAAAAAAAAAAAGGAAAAGTCAGAGATGTAGTAAAGACACAAATAACTTATTTTGTACTAGTTAATGAAGGCACGTGGCATTTAAATTAATTGGTTGAAATATGAGTTAAAGTGGTATCTTGAATATCCACAAAAATTTCTCTTAAATCTGGTGGTATCTTTCTCAATTCACATCTATGAGCGGTGATTCCTCTATCTCTTGCTCGCTTCAATCGGACTCTGACATCATTGTGACTCTAGCCGAAGGCTAATAATAGACCATTCTTATTTGAAGTCAAATTTGAATCTTTGTAGTACCAAGTCAACAGTTTGATCAACCAATTGTTATAGCATGGACCATGATTCACTTTGCATCGTGAATTCTGATCCAAAAATTATGTGTCTGCTGTTAACACAGGGCTAGCCCTGAGCAAGTCTGCCCAGGACCTTTGAACAGGGCCCCAATTTTTAGGGGCCCCATAATTTTTTTTTTTAAAAATTGTATATATAGTGTATTAAGCCAAACGTTATGCCATGGAACCGTGTTCACCATCAATGGTGAACACGGTCTCAACGGTAACGGCATCGTTATCTTTGTTTTTTTTTTTTCTCTTAATTAACAGCGTGACTTTTCTTCTTCATTTTCACATTTCGCGGTTTCACTTCCTCTTCGCGCAAGCTTCTTCAACACTCATAAATTATGAATGTGCAGGCATAGATTTATGAATGTGTACTTATGAAATTATGAACACTTTTTTATGAGATTATGAATTTTCTATTATGAGATTATAAATTTACAGAAAATTCATAATTACATAACTGTAAATTCATAATCTCATAACAGAAAATTCATAATTTAATAAATGTAAATTCATAATTTCATAATAGAAAATTCATAATTTGATAAATGTAAATTCATAATCTGAACATAAAATGTAAAACGCCGTTAACAGCACATGAACTAATTTTTTTTTCTTTTCTCGTAAAAACGACGCTGTTTGGGCTTTCCAGGGCATAATTTGCGGGCAAATTATGTTGTGCATCCGTATGCACCATGCATGGTGCATACGGATGCAAAAACGACGTCGTTTTAATAAAACGCGCGTCTCCCCTTAAAAAAAAAAAATCAGGTTCGATTCCCAGTAACAACATATGAACTAAAATTCCATAATCGATGAACTATAATTCCATAATCTAATCTATGAACTAAAAATTTCAGAATGAATGAACTAAAATTCCATAATCTATAAACTAAAATTTCAGAATCGATGAACTACAATTCCATAATCGATGAACTATAATTCCATAATCAATGAACTATAATTCCATAATCTATGAACTAAA